GTTTTGAAGTCTTCTTGCGTGCTATTATAGACGCAATATTTAATGTATCATGGTAAACAATATTGATATCGTGTCACAAGTTGTGCTCATAATAGTATATCATTATAAATGCACTCTGTTAGACTTTTAAATTCCGCTATAGTGTTTTATTGAACGTCTAAGTCTGAATGTGTGAATATAAAACCAACTTTACCTCAATTTTAAATCTTTACATGTCTTTGACTTCTGAATGTACTAACAAGAAAGCTATAAAAACTGTGAATCTGTTTAAAAGATACATTTGTGTTTTGGCATGTAATGTGATTTAATGTAATGTAAATGTTTCAGTTTGTTATAAAAAAGCATATTTTACACGTTTAAAACAACTTAAACCTGAAATAACCCATGAAGAAATTAATGAATTCTCTTCAGATATATTTGTGCAAATGTTGCTCTGAAACGACGTCACTCATAGGCCCATCCGCAATCTGCGCGCGCAGAATTCGGCAGATTTTTAGCCCATCATTAATTCTGTTTATTTACTTGAGTAAATGTGTGTAAATCTATATTTATTCAATTTTTTGTTTAGTTTTTATTAATTTTAGTATTATTATGGACTAATGTGAAAATGTTCATCTGATTTAGTAATATTTTCTTTCTTTTACTAGATATATTATATGACAAACTTGCTTTATTTACCAAATAAAGCGAGTGTAATTGGATTTGCATTTTAAACATTAAATAAAAGTAAAAAAAAAAAAAATTTTCAGTTCACATATTAAGTTTTAAGTTATGACACTCCCAAAATAATTCAGCAGAAATTCGCAGACTTTTACCAAAATTCTCTGCAGAAATAGCAAAAAAACGTGTGCAGATTCCGTCTGGCCCTGCTCATAGCTAAGGATTAAACTTTAATTCTCTCAATATAAACCGTATTGTTTGTGATTTCATGGTTGAGACCCAAAGCTGTTTGTGTGTGTGTATTGATAAACAACAGCCTATTCTTTACAGTTTCACGTACTTTTAATGTTTTTCTTTCCCAGCTAACACAGTTTACTTTGATACTTTTAGTCAAAGTTCCTTTAAGGTGTATTCTTGTTTTAGCTGAACTCTATGATCAAGTTTGCAGAAATGTGATGAATATACCCGTATACCAAGGGTTGACCCCATCTTAAACTTCTGATCATATGTTTTTATGAGAGAACGCTTTTATTCGGGAAATATTTTAAGTGTAACGTTTGAAAAGGTGTCTTCTGGAGAACTTTTAAAATATTTATCTTATTCAAACTAAAATATTATATATGAATGTTTTTAGTGTTGTTGCTGCTTGTATACTTTTTTATTGTATTTTTTTTTACAATGTATGTTTGTTAAGAAACTGATTAGATTTTATGATTGTCTATTGTATATTTATTAGTATATGTTTTTGTGTTTGTTTTTGATATAACATTAAAATCTAACTAAAATAAATAAATAAATATGTTTTTATGCAGAGAACTAATCAATACTAAAATTTGTATTATTATTTGGTGTAAATACACTGATAGTCAATTAGGGCGAATGATGTCTCTGTTCAGTGCCATATATCATTTGTTTTACTTATGTAGATGTTTTCTTTATTTTATTCAATTCAATCTAATTAATAAATTTTTTAAATGTATCAAAAATATTAAAAATATGTATTTATTTATAAAGAGTACTGAAGACCCTAATGTATGCTTAAGACTATTAATGTAAATATGTAATTTTATTTGTTAAATATTTTGCTTTTGTTGGTCAGGTTACTTACTATAAGCATTACTATGGATTATTTAGTTAATAATTATTACATTTGTCTCTTAATCAATTTTGTAATTGTTTTATTATATTATTAATATTTAATCATTTACATTTATGTATTTTTTTTATTTAAAGGCTGGCATATACTTTTGATTTGTAGCCACATTTAATTTATACAGAAATAAAATGTGTAAAAGGACTAAATTATAAATGGCCCACCATTTAAAATTAAAATAAAAAAAATTACATAAAAAATGTATATTAATAATAATAATATTATTATTATTATTATTAAATTTGGTATTTTTATTTCTTTATTTTTTTGATTTTCAAAAAAGTTGTATATATTTTTTGTTTCTATTGATTTATTTAATATTTTAAAAAAATCTGTTTAATATTTAATATTTGTCATGTTTAATTTGGGTAGCTAATTTTTGAACTGTTATCATAGGTTATTTTGTTAGATAAGCTCCAGATTTGGCTTCATTACTGACTAAACTAATGTGTATGCACAAATATAATATTGTATAGCTCCTATAGAAAATATTAAGTTAAATGCGAGATTTGTGGTGGGTGTACTCGTATGATGAGTATATATATATTTTTTTCTTTAAGGCTGTAATATACTTTTGATGTGTATCAATTAACCTGTAATTTATGCATAAATAAATATGTAAAAGTTGTTCTATTTTCTTTTTTAAAAAAGTGTGTTTTTATTTATATATATATATATATATATATATATATATATATATATATATATATATATATATATATATATATAAAAACACACTTTTTTAAATTAGTAGAAAAACAAAGAAAATAGAATAACTTTTACATATTTATTTATTTATTTTTTTTTTAATCAAACATAATTACCTAATTTTAGAAATTAATTATTTAAAACCTTAATTTAAAAATTGTTATTTATAAATGCTGAATTATGGATTTTAATCTTTTTAGTTTTTGTAACTTTTTAAACTTTTTTTTCCCTTTGTGTGTTTCAGCTGCAGTCGTTTCAGGTGCCGTCGTGTGCAAGCAAACATGAGCTGACCAGTGGAGTGGCCATCGCACATGTGCTCAACAAAATGTGAGTGTGTGTGTGGTTTGACGTCATCATCTTCAATGAGTGTGACGTTCTGCAAATGTTTGTAGAGGATCGTTCACTATTCGACTAACAGCTGATCTGACAGATGCTCTAGTCCTCTGATACTCTGAGAAACCACCAACACACATCTGAATATGTCAAATATGACAGCTGCTGAAGACTCCATGTTAAAAGAGGAGTTATTTACCAGCCTGGAGTCAGAAAACACACTGATTTGCATGTGTGTAAAGTAAAGAATTACAAAGGTCACACTTGACAATAAGGTTTTATTAGTTAATGTATTTACTGACGTGATCTAAGTATGAACAGTACTTGTGCAGCATTTATTAATCATAGTTCAACATTTACTAATGCATTATTAACATCTGAATTCATGCTTGTTAACTTTAGTTAATGCACCGCCAGTTCACATTAACAACTGTGTTGTCAACAAGCATGACAAAATACTGTAATGTATAGTTCATCTGTTTGTTCATGTTAGTAAACTAACATTAACTAATGCAACCCTTTTGTTAAGTGTTTACATTACCAATACTCAAATTATTTCAGGGGCTGTACTTTGCTAACTAATTATAAATGTGCACTTTCAATTGATAACATTTTTTGTGCTATCATCAGTACTTTAACTGCACTATTTTTTCCTTCATCCAGGGGTCCGTTCTTCGTACCTCGCTTAAATGATCTAAGATGATTTGGCAGATCCTGGATCTTTTAATCTTGATAACTGATCTCTTGCTAATTTGGTTCTTCAAACGAGTTCGCGAATCAGATTAGAATGTCTGGATAAACTGATCTGAGATCGCTGCGTGTGTTGTGAAGGACAGATCTATCGATCCTCGAAATCATGATCAGCAATGCAACGATTGGCTGACGGCACAGCAGCGTAATGACATCATCTGATTAATATTCAATTATCCATGTGAGCAAAATTACATCAAATTAGCAGTAAACGGCTTGTTAAATATGACACGCGATAACCTTCCACATTTGTTGTGAGCTGCAGGCTTTACACTTTCATGTGTCAAGACAAGAGTATTCATCATGTATTTCAATGCATATCAGTGTATTTAGTTCTACATTTAGAAAATATTTTCTTTATAATAGTAGCCGTTTTTTAATCGGTGTAAAGAATAACTGGATGGTTACAAAAGCATTTTCATATTGGTAAAGGCGTCTGCAACTTTTGTGAAGCATCAAATTACTGGCATCTTAACTATCAAAACATGTTTATGACTGCATAAATGTATTATTGCTTTAAAAAAAGTCACATATTGTGCATTTCTATTATACACAATTTGTACTAAAGCGATCTAAAAAGTTCATATCAATAAGTTTTCTCTTTGCACCACCAGGTGGCAGTCTTTGTACTTTCATTTCGAGGGTGCAGATTGCATACGTTTTATTAATATGTATAACTTTATTTATTTTATTAATGACTATAACATTATATATATAGTTTAATAATATGTACCATTTTCCTAAGTGTATATAACTACTACTGTAAGAAAATATCAGAATACAGAACATACTTTCTGTATTATCTTTGCTTGAACTAAGCTGATCTAATCTTGTTTATATGAATTGAACCTGCTCCCGATCAGGTTTGAGCTAGCAGAACTGTTGCTATGACAACAACTCTCGGATCAGCTTTGAAGAACGAAACCATCCTGGATCGTGTCAATATCCAAATCCATCTAACTGGGGTAATCCACGTACGAAGAACGGACCCCTGCAGTCAACACCTTTTGTTTATTTTTGCTGGTCTACAGCGATTGGCTAAGTTGAATAATCAGTCATTCCTGTCCAATCAAATCACGCATAGAAAAATAACATCAAACAGAACGAGCTGAAGACACAAACGCTTTATGAATGCAGCTAAAGTAGAGATCTGCACGGGACTAAATTTTATATCCCGCTCCCGCTTGTTCCCGCCATGTTTTAGCCCGAACCCGAGCGCTAGCTTTTGTTGTCTCGCTGCCCACCCTGTTTTCTACCGCCGCACCCAATCCCGCTAAAGAGCAGGGGGAGAACAAAACAAAACCGAAAACCACCCAGCTATACAGAGTCTGTATAAACACACACACACACACTTCTCATTCATGTGCGCGCACACACACACAGCAACAAACAAGCTAAACACAGCAATGTCTCATTCACACACAAGAGACAACCCCCAAGATTAAGGGGGTTCGAAGAGACAAGTGCAGCGCCTGAAACTACAGATACTGGAAGCCTGTGCTGGCATTTCTCCTGCGGTGTTGCTATCAGTGTGTGAAGAATGGTAGAAGAAGGTTGCATTGACAATCCAACACATTGGGCAGCACATTGAACACATTTTATAGGTGGTCAGAAACTTGTAAATAACTCACGAAAGAATAAAGTTACGTTAAAACCAAGCACGCCACTGTTTTTCTTGTGAAATTCCCAATAAGTTTGATGGGTCAAATGACCCTCTTCCCTTTGGAAAAAACAAAAGTTGGATCCAAGATGGCCGACTTCAAAATGGCCACCATGGTCACCACCCATCTTGAAAAAATTTGCCCCCTCACATATACTAATGTGCCACAGTCAGGATGTTAATATCACCAACCATTCCAATTTTATTAAGGTGTATCCATATACACCCTGTATAATCTCATATGGGTTTCTGACAGCTGAAAAGATCTCTTTACCTTTCACTTTTATTTGTTAACATTTATTATTATTACTTTAGGATATGCGTTTTCACATTCTCGTACCAATGCCTGATTATTAAACTGTTAAAATGACTGTAGTTAAATGAAATATTCTTAAGAATAAAAATTGTGTGTTCTTTCAAAGAGTGCACTTGCATTGTGATGCTATTATATTGTCATTCTGGCATATTATAGTTAGTGGCATAAAATTGTATTAAAATTAATATAATATTGTTTATCACAATATGTTTTGGTGCAATATATTGTAGAACAAACAATATTATGACTACAGTACGGTTCGCTTTTTGGTAACTTTTGACTGTGGAAACAGAAGTAAAAGCACACCGAGTCATACAACTCATTGGAAATGGGCCATTAAAAAGAAGTATAGCACTGACAAGCTACACTGTTTTATCTGCAGGGTTTTAGGTACATTATTTTCAGTTTAATTCTGACTACTAGTGTTGTCACAATACTGAATTATTAATTATTATACTGAATACGGTACCAATCGGTACTGAAATTTAAATAAAGTCCATTTGAGCGCTGTTGAGCACGCTCCTAAGCAGAGCTGATTGGCCGTTGTGTTCATGTGCTCAACAGAAATGACTGTGATTGGCCAGGAAGGCAGTGCAGACACTGGAGTGTTTTACAGCCGTGGAGATCAGCGGGTCTGTTTATAAGCAGACACATGAGCGATCTGTTGATGAATCGACTGCTGTTCGCGGCTTTAATACACGACAGTGTCTCGTTTTCTGTTAGCGGTGAACTGATGAGCTTTACAGCCAATCACAGTAATTTCTGTTGAACTTGTGAGCACAGTGGCAAATCATCTGTGTTTAAGGACGCGCTCAACAGTGCTCAAATCTTAGCTGGAAATTGACGTTTTTAAAATTACAGTATCGTAATTCAGTATCGTGACACTTCTCTCTTTCTCGAGTACTTTTAAGGGCTACTTTTTGCTCATTCTTGGAGTAGTGTTTACAACAGATTCGTTTACCCGCACTACATTTGTTGGGAAAGTAATTGTGCTTTTACTTGAGTATTAGTAGTTTGGAAAGTGTTTTTTTTTGTCCTTCAGAGATTCTACATGGTTTAATGAGACTTGGCTCAGCAGGATAAAAGAGGATGGAGGCACAAACTGGAGGCTGAAGGTATTTTACTGGAGTTGTAGTCTTTCTGTACTGTATACTGTATGTTGATGTGTTTTAGTGAACATGTGTATATATACTCTGACAGGTCAGCAACCTCAAGAAGATCCTCCAGAGCATGATGGAGTATTATCATGACGTAAGTGTGGTTTATTTCAGCATTAACCCTATTGTATACTGTATTTTTTCCCTCAAAAAATGGCAGTTGAACAGAATAATAAACACACAAACACATGAATGAACAAAATATTTGTAAATGCTGAATGTTGGCAGTCAGTTTATTTTTTATATTTTATGTATGTACAGTGTATCTGGAAAGTATTCATAGCGCTTCTCTTTTTCCACATGTTTTTAATGTTACAGTCTTACTCCAAAATGGATTCACTCCATTTGTTTCCTCAATTTTACACACAATGCCCCATAATGACAATGTGAAAAAAAGAGTTTTTGATACTTCATACTTGATACTTCAGAGTGCTCTTGACCTCAGACCGGGGTAACAGTTCATCTTCCAGCAGGACAATGACCCAAAGCACACCGCCAAAATATCAATGGAGCGGCTTCAAAACAATTCTGTGAATACCCTTGAGTGGCCCAGCCAGAGCCCAGACCTAAATCCTATAGAACATCTTCTGGAGAGATCTGAAAATGGCTGTACATCGTCACTTACCATCCAACCCGATAGAGCTTGAGAGGATTGGGCAAAAATTCCCAAAGACAGAATATGATGCCAAACGTGTGGCATCATATTCAAAAAAGACATGAGGCTGTGTTTGCTGCCGAATGTGCATCAGCAAAGTATTGAGCAAAGAATTGATGCATGTGATTTTTCTGCTTTTTATTTTTTAACAAATTTGAAGCAATTACAAAACCTCTTTTTTCCACTTTGTCATTAATGGGTATTGTGTGTAGAATGTTGAGGAAATAAATTAATTGAATCTATTTTAGAATAAGGCTGTAACAAAAAAAAAAAATGTGGAAAAAGTGAAGCGCTTTGAACACTTTGTGGATTCACTGTATATAAAATTTGTTTGTTAAAAATGATTAATAAATGTTTTCACTTGTTGTGATTGAATATAGATATTGATCTCTTAGCTCTTCTGGGGTTAAAATATAGTGTGTGTGTTGTCGAAAATTCAAAATTAACATCATATCTGGTAACGTGGATAATTTTTGTGATCTTATGCATTAATTCTATAAATAAAAAGCACACTTTAAATTTAAAAATAAAGGTCATCTGTCATTTAAAGAACAAAACCGTAGTAATGTTTAACTCGAACATATAACTGCAAATTGTACATCCAGACAAACTGTTTTCAAGTGATTCTTGGACACTAAATCATCATATTGCAATTGCCTTTTAAAGGGTGCAAGAGTATTTTGAGTCTTTATTTATTTGATTGTCTGCATCTGTATTATATTATGTGAGTGAAAACCCGGCTGAAGTCATTTCTTTCGAGATGCACGCTCTTTTTCTGGGTTTAAAATGTACTTTACAGGATGTGCTACATTCCATCCCTATAAAACTTCTTATTTATTTATTAATTAATTAATTTATTAATTAATTTTATTTGTTTTTATCCTATTAAAAAAGCTTTGTGTGTGTTTCTGTGTGTGTGTGTGTGTTAGGTGTTAAGTCAGCAGGTGTCTGATGAGCATGTGCCTGATGTGTGTCTGATTGGAGAGATGGGGGACGTCACTGAACTGGGTCGCCTGCTCCAGCTGGTTCTGGGCTGCGCTGTCAGCTGCGACCGCAAGCAAGGTATGAACACACACACTCCCAGATCCCACCAAATCAAGACACGAGCAGTGTTTGACCCTGATCTGACTTGAAGCAGTGCATATACTTGGTCGGCGTCACGTCATGGCTGGAATTCTTCTCCTCCATTGGAAATGAATAGCGGTGAATTGGGGTTGTTGTGAAAATTGTGCTTTGTATCACCAAAAATGAAATTAACCATTGGTTTCTTGAAATCTCAACCTAATTGGCTAATCGGAGCTATTTCTCCTCTAAATAATAACACCTCCGGAGAAATAGCCACCTAAAAAAACCTTATCCTGGCAAATGAGATCTGATAGGGAGGCATTTTTCGGCATTAGACAGATTCTTGTGTGACCATCAGTGAATTAACATTATGTGGGACAATTATTACGTTTGTGTGTGACTGTGGGACTTTATCAACACTAAAACAACATGAAGCAGCGTCTAAGGGTGCTTTCACATCTGTAGTTCGCTTCATTTGGTCCGGACCAAGGGTAATGAATGATACATTGTTGCATCTTTTGCCGTCTTTGGGTCGTTTTCACACCACACTGCTGGCTTTGGTCCGAACCAGTTGAACGAACCAAAATGCAGTCATCTAACAAAATCCACATCTCTCACTGGCCAGATGTTGTTGAACATATTTCCTAAACTGCTTATTGATTGGTCGGAAGTCACGTGCGGGAAAATGCCAGTGAACTCCCGCAGGTAAACAAAACCTTTTACTCTGGAGGGACGACTGCACCGGCTGATTGTGCTTTAGACAAACTATACATTTCGGAAATAAAGCGCGGCCGTGGCTGGAAAACAGTGTAATGCATCACTCGTCACTTCAGGAGGAGGCGTGAATTAATTTAGCTAAACTGCGACATGGTCATCTTGCGGAAATATTACCAACGATCCATCAGGTAATGTTTTCCCCTCTCTCTCTCTGTTGGTAAAGCGCTGTCAACAAACATTTTCCTCCATATCCCATAATGCACAGCGCATTGGCCTACAGCAGCTGGATTAGTTTAAATGGCGCAGTGCTTTTTGCGGTTTTACCTGTTTTAGTACGGATCATATTCTCACCACAATCGAACCGCTCCAGGGTTCGTTTGAAAGCGTACCGAGACCACCTCTTCAAGCAGGTCTCGGTACGCTTATTTGGTCGGCTTTTGGTGCGCACTCGAGTACGAATGCTGCATTCTCACCTGCCCAAACGAACCGCACCAAAAGGGGAAACGAACTCTAGTGCGATTTAATCGAACTAAATAAGGCAGGTTGTGAAAAGCACCCTAACTTAAAACATGCATTCTAACTGTTAGATCATTTAAGGTTTTTGTATTTTTCCACAAAATACATTATACTGCAATGCGTTGAAATTGTCTTTACATGTCATTTAAACTCAGACAATCACCTGCTCTGCATTTTAGACAGCTGTCTGTCATATGTGGAACAAATTACACTAATAGATTGCATAAAAAGCAAGAAAGCAAAAAATAAAACGGGGTGTCCGTGGGGTCTTAAAATGTCTTGAATTTCAAAAACTAAATTTTAGGCCTTAAAAAGTCTTAAATTCAATAAAATATTGTCTTGTATGTCTTAAATAATATTAAAAGGGTTTCTGCAGGGTCTTAAAATGGCTTAAATCTCAAAATACAAATTTTAGACCTTGAAAAAAGTCTTTTATTTGTTGATATATTGTGTTGTAGGTCTTAAATTTTTTTTTAAACAGGTCTTAATTTTCCTTTGTTCATGTACTGCTACCAAATCTGGCCAAACCCCATACGATCATCAACGGTCATCTCAATAAAACTTACATTTTTTTATTTAAAAAGGTCATTTTTTACTTTATCATAATGGTTTAATTATTTTCCTTACAATCACATTTGTTTAAAAGTTCTCCATGTACTTACTGCTCAGGACACTGACCTGGACAGATTGTTGTGCGTAAACTTTCATTCTTTTTTTTATTTTAAAGAAAGTATATGTTGTAAAGTGTATGGATACAGCTAGAGCTTGCTTGTTTTTACACAATATTTAAAACATTGTGCTATTTTTTTTATATTGATGTATTTTTTATTATTAAATGCAATAAATTAAAAAAAAAATGTATAGGGCAAATAAAAATCTTTTCCATCTAGGCCATTTGAAACATTCCTTAGCCTTTAGCCCTTTATGGGTTTAAAATTCCATTCGTAATGGTCTTAAAAATGTCTCCAAGTCTTAAATTTAACTCTGAAACTTGCAGAAACCCTGTTTAAATGGGTCTTGATTTTCCCTTTGTTCATGTAAAGCTACCAACACACATGCAATCATCAGCAATACATCTCAATAAAACTTTAAGCAGAACTCTATTAATAATTAATATTATAACAAGTTCTTGTGCAGACATTTATTAACTTTTTATTTATTAAGAGTTTCTTTTTATTATTAATATGTATGCAACCAGGGTCTGCTTGTTTTGAAACGTTATTTAAAATATGTGGCTAAGAATTAACCAATTAGAGATTGTGTTTTTTTTTTTTTTTTTTTTTTATCAGGCAAATTAAAACAAACATTTTTTTTTTTTATCCGTATGGGTTTAGCCCTATTTAAATTTCATTTTGATGGTCTTAAAAAAGGTCTGAAAGTCTTAAATTGCACTTGGTAAAACCTGCAGAAACCCTGTAAAAACAAAAGCACCATAGTGAGGTTTTAATGGTCGTTCCTGTCAAGTGTAGTAAGCTCGGAGTGTCGAGCAAAATGAAAGTGTAAAATCACATTGATTACTGTCATATTCGGTGACGATTGTGTGTTTCTTTTCCTCTGGCAGAGCACATTCAGCAGATCATGATGCTGGAGGAATCGGTGCAGCACGTCGTGATGACGGCAATACAAGAGGTACACAAAACACATATGGTACAACAACTGTGCCTCTTTGCCTATGATTTTTGTGCACCTATGATGAAAATCAACTTTTTTAAAGCTGTTTGGACAGAACTGTGTATAGGTATAGTGTGTTTAAGGCTGATTTATACTTCTGTGTCAAACGGCGGCGTATGCTATGGCGCTGACGCATAGCCCTTCGCCGTGGCCGTGGGCGTCGCTGACGTGCACCTCTCAAAAAATAACTACACGTCGCAATGACGCGTAGCGCAAGCTCTGTGATTGGTCGGCTTGGTAGCGCTGACGAGTCTGGGCGGGAGCCGAGAGCCGCATGAATGGTGCGAGCCTGATGGAGCAATTGTTTACAAGTGTGGAGTCCCGTGAAGGAGCTCCGGATGGAAAGTTTTGTTTTGTGTTTACCTCATAGTTAAAGTTGTTGAACGTCCGCCGGTTCCTGCCTCAAAATGAGCGAGTTTGAGCCACTTGTACATCCTGGAAGTGTTCAGGAAAAGCAAAACAGCAGAGAAGAAACTCGACACAGAGGAACATTTACACCTCACTGCCAACTAGCATTTCGGAAGTGTTAATGCAGAGCAACAGAGACAGCGCGCAGAAGTATAAATGCACAGCTATGCGCGTTGCATGCGCCGTGGGTTACGCCGGTCACTTGACGCAGAAGTATAAACCAGGCTTAACACTCATATTGGAGTGAAATAAACACAACAAGTCTCTTTTTTTTGAATACCCTGATATTAAAATAGGATCTAAGTCCCAGTGATTTTTGAGGTCCGCTGCATCCTGACATAGGAGTGCACTTTTCCCCACCCACCAAATTGATTAGCAGGTGCCATATCTCCATAATAACATTTCAAGAGTTCACACTTTGATATTGCTTAATAATAATAATAATAGCAGGTTTGACATGCTGTCTTGAGAGAACTAGCTGATCTTGTACCCCATTATATGCTCACTGACCAGGCGGGAGCCCTGAGCTCAATTATCTTCGAGCTCAGGGTTCCCGCCAGGTCAGTGAGCATGTAAGGGGGTACGAGATCACGAGAGGTCCTCCTGGTAAAGGAGAAAAGGGGGAGATGGGGTGGAATCTTCAAGAAACGAAGATGAGGGAATATAATCAAGAGAGCAAAGTGCGGAAATGTTAATGCCTGCACTGCAAAAATGCGTTTCTTACTTAGATCTTTTGTCTTGTTTCTAGTCCAAATATCTAACAATTCCCTAATCAAGAAAAATTTTCTAGACAAGCAAAACACATTGTCTTGTTTTGAGGAATAATATGCCAATATTAAGTGAGTTTTTCCTTAAAACAAGCAAATAATCTATAAATGGGGGAAGCAAAATAATCTTACGTCAAAAGAAAAAACAAGATTAGTTTGCTTACCCCATGGGCAGATTATTTTGCTTGTTTTAAGGAAAAACTCACTTAATATTGGCATATTATTTCTCAAAACAAGACAATGTGTTTTGCTTGTTTAGAAAATGCTTCTTGATATAAGAAATTTTAGATTTCTACTTCCTGCTTTGCTACTGTTTGGACGTCTTTGCCCACTGCTCCGCTCTTCGCACTCTTGCTTTTATATCTTATACCCTAATTTTAACTTGAGCCTATCAGCACAGTGCTCAAACAACACAGCTTGAAGATCAGCATCGATTCTACAAACTTTCTGGAATATAGCTTTACTAACAAGAGGGGAATTACCGTCTAAACAATCCTCCCGCTAGCAGCTATCAGCTGCTTACATTCCGGAGACGGGAAAACACGGCTGTAAAAATTCCTCTGCAACCTAAGCAAGAAAAGCGTTTTTTGCTGTGTGTCTGAGAAAAGTGTATAACGTGTGTAGTGAGGGGTTTTACAGCCTTAAGCCATCCATAATAATTGTAAAAAATAAAGCGATTCACCTGTTGCAGGCTATTTTTAGAGCTTAACTCCCACTATCAACGAGGGACCGCTGTATAGTATATGACTCGCACATACACCGTACACACATACATGCATTTACACACATTGAAATCTGGGATGCAATGTACTGTAAATTGACAT